GGGGGTCACCTCTCAAAGAGTGCAAACTGGAACGGAAAGTCCCATTAGCAGATTCAAGCCCCACAAGACAAAAGCCTGGGCAGGCACCACGGGTTAAATCTTACACTACACAGAGCCTTCACTTCATTGCATTTAATGTGAAGAATGAAACTATCGTTCTGCTTCACGTTTTACTTATGTATTAAACTGGGCTTGATTTCCTGGATCAGAAACACCAGATAGTTTATTCTGTGTCCCAAGCTTAACGTTTCTTAAGGAAATAAATGGCACCGGCTAGTATTTTCTTTACACCCTTTCTGCTCGTAGCCGTCGTTTTGAATCGATTTTAAGGCAACGCGGAGTCGACACCGCGTCTTGAATTTTCTACCTCTTACCTGTTCCATGTCCTCCGGCATTTCAGGCATTTTTCCAGAACTATTTTTGGGGAAACGCAGCGAGAGGAAATCTGGGCGTCTGGCTTCTCTGGCCGGGTCTTTGTTCGCTCCGCCCGCACCGAGTACACGGACGCCAAAAACGTGAGGCGCAGCTCCGCTTGACCTTTTAAATTAGCATTTCCATTCCAATCCTGGAATCTCGTGCAGCTTTCCACAGTGCAGTAAGCTAGCAGCTGATTCCTCCTGCTAGTTTTGAAACTACCCAATGAGAAGTTTCATGTTTAATTGCAAGTCAAGAGAGCATCCATTACTGAAATTCATATGGCAGAACTAAGTAAAAACAAATAAACAAACAAGCAAACCCTGCAATTCCCTGGTAGAACTTGTTGACTTTGTGTCTTGGAGAAAGACAAGCATGAGCCAACGGTTGGGAAGCACACTGAGCAATTGATTCCTGTTGTGAAATATTCCACACGTTCCACGCCTTACATTAACGGAAACTTCAGTGAAACTCCCCAATTGTTTTTTTTTTTTTTTAGCTTAACGATTTCAAATGCCAATTTAAAAACTCTAGTGGTAACAATACATAGATCTGGTCATTTCCATTAACTGTGTTTTGCTTAAATTTAGCCAAGCATTAAATAAATACGGCTGACCAGTACTTCCCAGACCTGCCTGTAACAACACCAACAAGAGTACAGCCATTTTCTAGGAGTGAAGCACAGACAGCTATTTTTAGGAGTTTCAAAGACGATTTAGGCTTGGATCAGCTTTGAGACACTGGGTTTATGACACTGCACAATTTTAACTTTAAAATCAACAGGAGCTAATATTGAAATTAAGCTTTAAAAAATTACTCAGCAAAGGGTGGCACACGCCTTTAAAACCAGCCCTTCAAATATGAATCATGTTGAATGCTGCTGCTGACAGTTTGAGGTGAGTGTCCAAGGACGGGACTGATAAACCTAGAAGTTTAACCAAGGACAAAGGGTTCTAGGATCTTGTTTTGAAGGCTTATCATTCTGTGTTTTAAACAACAGCATCCCGGGTCCTTGGTGTATTCTATAAATGGCTTCTGTCAGCAATGGGCTTTGGCAGCAGAGTGCAACAGGCTGTGGCACCTTCAGCTGTTACAACTTTCATCTTTGTCTGTATGCCATATGTGTGCATTGCCTATGAAAGTCAGAGGGGCCTATAGGATCATAGGAGCCAGACAGCTGTTAGCTGCTATGCAGGGGATGGAATTGAACTCAGATCCCCTGGAAAACAAGAGGCATCTCTCTGGCCTTTCTCAGCTTTCTCATCACTTCTGATCTGTCTTTTCTATCTTGGGTGTTCAGATTCTTCTGCTACTATCCCGATGCTATTGCCATTGTCACTACTTTGTCATTGCCTTTGCCACCATCTTACCAACAAAACAAAACAAAACACAGCAACAACAACAAAACAAGCAAGGAAATGGCATTCAAGAGAAGCCTAAACATCAACACAGAGGTGGCAACCACACGTTTCTCATGAGGAACTGTGCCATGCTTGATATAAATGGAACTTTCTAGCTAGGTGTGGAAGCAACTATTCAGATTTACTTTGTGGGCCAGCCAAGAGAATCCTACACTGGGAATAGCAAGGGCTTTTGTGTAGGGGGATGGTCTGGTATTGGTATGTATTGAAATGCTAAATATTCGCCTCCAAGATCTGACTGCCCCCAAACAGATCCTCACATATGCCAATTGATGCTACGTAACCTTGTTCCCCAAGTTAATTGGTAATTAATTGGTAATTAATTGGACAATAGGTAGAGGTAGGTGGGTTTTCAGTTACCTGGGTGGGGATTGCAAGTAGAGTTGGAAGAAGACATGACATGGAGGTGGAGGAGCCCGCCTTGAGAGGAGATGGAGGATGAGCATGTAGCCAGGAAAACCAGCAAGTAACAAGAGGCAATATGGCTGGGAAATGAGGTAGCATAGCTCCAAACCTGCCCAATCTAAGATTATGGCTTGTAAATAAAATACCTGGATTATGTGTCTTTTTATATGGGCTAGCTAGAATGCAGAATTTTTATATACATTTGAATCTTCACCCTTATATCACCCTTGAATCCTCACCCTTATATCACCCTTAGTGATATAAGCCCTCCAACAAAGTCACATCTCTTAAATCCTTCCCTTACAGTTCTACCAACTGGTGACCAAGCATCCAAATATATGAGCCTATGGGGGCCATTTTCATTCAAACCACCACAACTGGTATGCCACCAGGGTCCTCATTTATTTTCAGTTAGCCAACATCAAAATATTGCATGGTAGTAACAGAAGACAGGATGACAGGGCCCACGGATTTAAAAAAAAAAAAACAAGTGCCAAAATCGAGGTTTACTTTTTAGCAAAGAGCTAAAGAACAATCAGGAAAGTATAAATGTATAAACCCACATATGCTTAGGATGTTGGTTATGATTTGCTCATGAATCAAAGATAGGAACTCTATTGAAATTTCACTTAAATAAGCCTAAGTTATCTGTCGTGTGTGTGTTTGTGTGTGCAATAGGATGTGGTTCCCTATCACTCTCCACCCATTCTTTTGAGGTAGGATCCCTCCTGTACCTGAAGTTTGCTGTCTTCGTGGCTAGGCCAGAAGCCAGTGAGTCCTAGTGATTTTGTTACCTGTCTCAGCTCTGGGGTGTCAGGTGTACACCAGACACCTGGCTTGTTAACTAGGTCCCTAAGGCTTGAACCCTAGTCCTCATGATTGTGAATCTTTAGCCCTACAGATGCTACCTTGTAGATAGATACTTGCAAAGCCAGTAGTCCACAAAAGAGCTGACTATCCTGTTTTCCCTGTGTATAATTACTATGATTAAATGGTATAAATCTGAGAGTCCAAAAGAAGAATGACTAACATAAATTTTCAATGTAAAAATAAATATGTAGTTGAAAGTGGAAATTTCTGGTTTCTTTCTGGAAACTATCTTATTAAAGGATGTTTTTTGCTAAAACAGACACATGGGAGGATGTTTTGCTGAAACAGACGTGTGTTCTTCTGGAAGCTGCCTGGAAAAAGGGCATGTGATGTTTTGCTACAGTAGACACTTGACAGAACACCTGATGTTTGGATAGGGTATAAATATAACCCAACAGACAGTGAACTAAACTAGGTGGTATTGGTTCACTTTGCCACTCTTTGCTGGTCTTCTTTGACAATGCTGTGGCATTGGTTTGCCTTGCCTTCATTGTTTGTTAATACTTTGTAGAGAGAAATGTACCATTTGTGAATGTTGATTCAAGTGGATCAAGCCACTGGTGAGTCATGTGGACTGAACTGCTGATATTCTGACAATGAACACTGGATTCGGCCCAATGAATTATTTCTAAACAGGTCTACATCCTCATTTGCCCTTTTATGGTGGATGGTAGGCTAGAAGGGAGGTTAAGGCATTTAAGCACACTTAAGTAGGTTTTTGAGAAATGGGCCTACAATAGTCTTGGCTGGCCTGGGACTTGCTATGCGGATCGATCTCATCTTTCTCCCTTTACCTTCAGAATGCTAGGATTAAAGGTGTGTTCCACTACCCCTGGCATAAGTCAGGGGTTAAAAAAAAATGAAGAAAATGTATCACTTATTATTCCGGGAAAAATTAGGACGGAAGGTAGACACAATTAAATACATCTTTAAAAGAAGCAATATTGTAATTTATTAAATAAAAATTAAGTACTGGTCAGGTAATATGAGTTTCTATATGGCTTTATTTTATGTTACACACACATTCAGAGGATATTCAGATGACAAATTCTCTAAAAATCTTAGGGGTAAAATTTTTCAGATTTGCATGAGAGCCTGAGCACATGACGCTTGCTTTTAATCCCAAGCAAGACATAAGCAAGTAGATCTGAGTTCAAAGCCAATTCAGTCAAAAGAAGGAGTTCTAGGATAGCAAGAACTACACAGAGAAACCCCGTCTCAGACCAATGGGGGAAAAAAAATCTAGATTTCCAGTGTGTCTAAAACTTAACAGACTAATGTTTTAAAAAATGTAGGTTTATAGGCAAAACTATGTGTCTTAATTTAGAATTGAGAAATAAAGAATTCAGTCACTTTGATTAAAAAAAGAAAGAGAGAAAACCCAAGGCGACTGTGGAGTTAAGGGCGCCCTTATTTCTGGTTGCGGTGAAAAGAAGACAGATTGCAGAGTGCAGGGTGAGCATGATCAGTAAATCAAGGCAAAGACAAGACCAAGCCAAAGGCTTTTAGCCTTTCCACTCTTTACTGGAATAGAAAGAACTCTAGAGTCAAGCTAAAAACATGGAGGGAATACAGAATAGGGACAAATGTTTAATACTGATCTTAAAAAAAAAAAGTCAATTTTGATGGTAAAGCAATGTATGCAACAAAGCAAACAAATGGTTCAGAATGAGGTGATACAGGTAAAGATTGAGGAGACACATAATAGAAAATAAAAGATCAAAATTACTTTTATAACAAATGCTGAATTACTGTTTCATATACTGAATAGGCAGTAGAAATTAAATACATTATATAATATAATATATACTATAAACATAATATCGAGAATAATGAAGAAAATAATCTTCAACAAGTATTTCAGACGTATACTTTCATGATCCTCTTGAGGTTGCATCTGACTCAGCAGCAGTTTGCGTTGCCTGAAAAGAGTATGACAAAACACTTTAAGGATTTTTTTGTTTGTTTTTTTTGTTTTGTTTTTCGAGACAAGGTTTCTCTGTATAGCCCTGGCTGTTCTGGAACTCACTCTGTAGACCAGACTGGCCTTGAACACTTTCAAGTATTTTATATTAAAACTACTAACAGATGAACTAGGCTATGGACGTAGCTCAGGCACAACTTGCCTAGCATGTCCAGAGACATCGAAATAAATCCTTGAAAACTAAACCAAATTCCTAAGCCATTATAAACAAAACTAAAACTAGGCTGATCTTCTTAAAGACGGAAGTACCATAATTATAATTAATATATATATGTATATATATATATTACATATATACATGTATATTATAATACATATATATTCAGTATTTTAAGCAATTAGGATTTAATTTTGAAATATACAACGTTTCTGTCAAGAAAAAAACTTCTCTCAGCTTGAAATGTGAAAGACTATTATGGATCTAAGACACACTTAGGTTACAATGTGGGCTCTATACAGAGGGACTGACCTTGGCAAAAGAGAAATGCAGTTCAGAGGGAATAGGGAGGGAGGCTGCTGGTAGGAGCAATAAAAGACAGACTACGGAAGATGCAATGGGGCTTGAAGGACACGGACTCTGGATCAACAGAAGCCGAGGAAGGGAGGAGAAAATGGTATCATATACATCAAGTTGGTAAGAATTTCTTCTATATTAGATAGAGGATACCAACAAAGTTTCATAGGTTATAAAAAAGTTATATCACCAACTGCTGTGAAAACAAAGGGGAAAAAGGAGAATGACAGGAGCATAAATACACTTTTTCTTACTTTCTTTTAATGGGGTCTTGAGAGTCAAATTCTCCTTAGATTCATGACAAAAAGCCTTGGAAGGGTCAAAGTGCCCGATGCCCAGAGCTTTATCCAATTCTCCCTGAAGTCTGAGCTCATTTTGCTTCCTTTTAACAAGCTGAGACCGGAGTTTTGACACCTCCTGTGAAATAAAAAGATAATTCTGAAAAGTTGCTTATGTATAAAAGCTAATGGCAAAAATAACTATTACATATTCACTAAGATCAAATTACAAAGGGATTTAGAACAGCTCTGGCAAAGTAAACACAGTATTTTAAATTTTCTTGTCCCTCAATAGTTATGGGTGCACTTTTCTGATCAAATATGAAATGAAAATAAATTGCCCCCAAATAAATTTTTGTTTTGACAGGCTAACAGTTTGTGACAGGCTTCCTCGTAAAACCAGACAATGTAAAAAGGCAAGCAGTTGTGTTCTGCCTCTAGAGAGTGTCCTAAAAGCAGAACAACAAAGGAAGAATCAGCTATTCAGAAAGACCCACAAAAGTTTGCCTGGCATTTGAAACCAAAACTCCTTGCCTCCCTACTAGAAACCTCTTCGTCAAGAACACAAGCTTTCCTTCTCCCCAACTCCCAAAGGCTCCTAACCAGGAAGAGCCCCTTTTGCCAGCAGCCACACTTGCTGATGTCTGTGGGCACAGGTAGTAAGGCTAGAAGATCTCTTCTGGTCAGTCACACTTGTGCAGTTATGGAATCACTGGGCCTGAGCACTCTCGTCTAGCACATAACAACGGCTCTAAAGAGACACAAAACTGAGTAAACTGAGGCTATTTCTCACTCCCTTTCCCTGTAAGTCACTAAGAACCACAGTGCCAAGGGCAGAGGTGGCACTAAGAGAGAGGGTTACCTGTTCCCAGTTTCTGTGCTAAAATACTAGCTCAGAGTCTATCCAATGGGGAATACTACAAAGAAGACAGATGAGAGTGGCCTCCTGGGGTCACAAATATCAAGGGAGGTCAAGTAGATCACTGAACCTTCAGAATCCTGAGGCACTACCGAACTGATCTGTAGATCGGAAGCTCCAGCAATCCATTACCCCTGATCTTGGGCTCAGGGCACCTTCTCCTATCATTTCACCGGGCTAAGCCTTCTACTGCCTGCACTATGGCTTGTGGGCAACTGCTTCTAGGGCTGTCTCACACTCAGAGGGCTGTGGCAGGCTAACTTCAGGCTCCCTGACTTGTGATTGTTTCCTAGTCACAGGCCTCCATGGGAGTTTAGTTTTAAACAATAAGTTCCTTCCCAAGATGGCTCCCAATCCCTGTCCTCTCAGTTGTATAGTGACAAAATGGATTTCTCCTTTCTGCTGACCCATCCACAGGGGAACTGCACTCTTATCAAATCTCAAAACTGGATCGGAGACAGGTGGCTGCTAAGGGCTTATGCTGATGGAGGACTGCCAGGTTCTTTTCACCAGGACAGGATCAAAATGCAAATTAACATTACTACATGATCCAGCTTACAGCTTCTGGGTATATACCAGGATGAATCACGATCAACATACTATATATAAAACCGTATCTCAGGTAATGTAACCCACTGTTTTGTATATTGTATGCCAAAAATAAAATATAAACTAACTTTCTAAAAGGAAAGAGAAATGAAATAAATCATTCTTTTGAATACCACTTAACTTCATAGTATTTACAAAAAAAAGCATGGCTATTTTGTAAGTAGAAATGAACATGAAAAGTTTATACAGTTTCCAACTATAGCAGCCATTATAAAACTAAGTAAAACTGAATATCCATCTGGTCAACATTAAATAAGTTCTTTAGTTCTGAAATTCTCCTCTATAAATTGTATATCTGAATATAAATATTATTTTACAAACCGATTTGAGTTGGCTATTTTCATCTTTCAATTTCACAACATGTTTGATTTTTTGCTTTAGATTCTGGTGACCCAGTAGCTGTGCATATGAGTCTCTGATTTTATTTAGCTGTTCCTGAGTTGCACCATGTTCATTCAACAATGCCTGCCTCTCTGCTTCAAAGGCATTCAGTTGTTGCTGGAAAAGACAAACACGCATTATTAGTACTGAAACCAAGACTAACTTGCTGAGCATGTGCACCCTTCTGCTGCTGCCTCACAAGCATAAGCATTGTGACCATGCTTGGACTAAACTTTTCCAACACCCTCTTCCATTCCAATTAGACCTGCCTTTTGTTTGTTTGTAGGCCTGTTTGCTTGTTTTGAGATAGACTCACTCTATAGTACTGGCTGTCCAGGAACATAGAATCAGGTTGTCCTCAAACTCAGGAGATTCACTTGCGTCTGTCTCCTGAGTGCTGGGAGTAAGGCATGCGCTACCACACTCGGCACCTTTTTCTTATAAAGAAATCAGGGTATTGCCATGTATGATGGTCTATGGCCATAAATTCAGCATTCAGGAGGCAAAAGCAAGAGGTCAGGAATTCAAGGACAAATTCAGCTCCACAGACCACTCTAGGCCAGCCTAGAGTCTCAAGGGAAAAAAGATAATCAGGCATAGAGGCTGATGCTAGAATTTGGGGAGTAGAAGGAGGAGCACTTCAGGTTCCAGGCTTGGTACCATGCCAGCTTGAGTTATAGTTCGATACCTTGCCTTAAAACCAAAGGACAAAAGTACAACACAAAGATCACTACAGTAACTTGAGAAATATTGTGATGGATCATATCAAAATACACATCACAAAGTAACAGGTAAATGATTGATATTTCTATGAGGAGAGCCTTCAGGACTACTAATTTCAAGTTGTTGATTAGAAAGTATTTTAAAAAATATATTATAAAAACTACATTGAAATTTAGTGTCTACTAAATTTGTCAGTTGGCTGGAGAAATGATAAACAGTAATACAAATTGCTCATTTTTATCACTTTACTTTTGGTTTTGTGTAGTACTGGGAATTGAACCCTGGCCCATGTACATGCCAAGCACACTCTACCACTGAGCTCATTACCAGATAAAAAAACTGAAACTACTGGAACCAAGAAGAGATACTGCAGAAGTACCAAGTCACAGTCAATACTAATGGGAAGGAAATACATTCGTAAAACAGATTAAAATAAGTTTTCTTACCTATTTTTATTTTATTTTATGAGTATGAGTGTTTTGTCTACGTGTATGTCTGTGCAATACAGTGCCCAGAAAGCTTGAAGATGTGGGACAGCAGAAACTGGAGTTACAGCCAGTCTGGAACCACCATGTGGTTACTGGGAATGAAACTGGGGACCTCTGGAAGAACAGGTAGTATCTTAACCATAGAGCCATCTCTCCAGCCCACAAGTTTAATGACAAGCAACAAACCTGAAAAGGTTTAGTTTTATCAAACAGTTCTTCATATAGGAGACGCCATCTATTAACTTCCATGGTTAATTCTGTGACTGCATTTTCTTTCTCTGCTGTTCTGTATGGGGAAATTAATTTTAAAAAATTAAATTATCTTTTTTGAATTTGTTAGAAAAACCATGTTCCATGGCAGTCAAGGTCTAGCCTGATGTACCTTTCTCCTTTCTCTTCCAGCTGCTTCCTAAAGTCTTCATCTTGTTGTCTGAGTTGATTTTGCAAATCAGTTATTTTTTCAAGGAATGAAGACGTGATTTCTTTAATTTGTGCTTCTTTCAATGTTGATCTGTTCTGCAAATCTAGAACCATCCTTAGATTTGAGAAAGAAGAATCCACTAAACATCTGATAGTGATTTCAACTTTTACCCCCTTCTTTTTGGAGAAACAAAACAAAGAACAAACAGAAACAATTCTTAAAAATTGCAATTCTAACTGGGTGTGGTAGGATTCTGTCTGTAAATGTAGCACTTATGGGGCAGTCAGGTGGATGTCCATTCAGAGCAGCCTGCTCTACAGAGCAGGTTTCCAGCCAAAACTAAATAGTGAGACTCTGTCTCAAAACAAACAACCAACCAACTGTAAATTTGTTACTCACTTTGCATATTCTTGATTTGTACTCTCAGCTGTCAATATCTGTTGTTGAACATCTTCTACACTTTTTTCAGCCATAGCTACTTTTTCTTGTAGAGTCATATTCTCCAGTTTAAGATCTTCTATTTCTTTAAGTGTTGATGACTTGTAGCTTATAAAAAAGAAAACAGTTAACACTTTTTTTTCTTACTACTATAGTCAGAAGGTTCAGATTTTACATACTTCTTGGCAAAAGAAAAACCTTATATTCATGTGCTTACACAGCCAAGAATGAAATACTCTGAGTAATGAATTTACATAACATTGTCTGTTTATGAGTGTCCTGCCTGCACGTATGTCTGTGAACCACATGTGTGCAGTGGACAAAGAGTCAGAAATAACACGCACGCCTTTAATCCCAGCACTTGGGAGGCAGAGGCAGGTGGATTTCTGAGTTCGAGAGTTCGAGGCTAGCCTGGTCTACAGAGTGAGTTCCAGGACAGCCAGGGCTACACAGAGAAACTCTGTCTCAAAAAAAGCCAAAAAAAAAAAAAAAAAAAAAAAAAAAAAGAAAGTTGAGTGTCTAGGGCTGGAGAGATGGCTCAGAGGCTAAGAGCACTGACTGTTCTTCCAGAGGTCCTGAGTTCCCAGCAACCACTTGGAGGTTCAGAACCATCTGTAATGGGGTCTGATGACCTCTTCTGGTGTGTTTGAGGGCACAGCATTACTCATGTACATTAAATAAATAAATATTTTTTTAAAAATTGAGTGTTTATGAAGTTTTCTATTTAAATTATGATTTAAAAAATGACTGCACATCATAATATATTGACATATACTGAAAACATTACTAACTTCTCTTTTGCATTCAGGTAGGGTCACACTCTCTACACCAGGTTGAATCACTGTGTAGTTTGGTCTGGCCTCAAGCTTACTGCAATCCTGTTTTAGAATTCACAAGTGAAGGGAATGCACCTGTGAGCCACCAAGCCTAGCCAAGAATAGTTTCAAAAGACAAGGAGCAAATGATCCAACTTCAGGGCTCACTGAACATTAAAGAGACTAAAATATTAGCTTCTACACACAGTAGAGCATTCCGGCAACATCAGCACTCCAAGGCTGTGTAAGACTGCCATGCATTTCAGGCCAGTCTGGGGTACACAGGTAATACCAGGCTAGTCAGGGATATCTATCATGGCAAGAGAATCTAAGAAAGTGTGGGGAAGTGGGGAGAGGGAGGCAGAGGGCAAAAGAAACAGAAAACTAAGAAATTATTGAATAAGCAGGGAGACAGGATAAATGTCAGTGCTCTGATGTTAGATGAAGATCTAAAAGCTTTTGATTTTTTTTTTTTCAATGATGCTATGAGAAAAGTAACATGGTACTGCTAAAGGTGCAGGAGGTTTGAACTGGATGGTAGGAAAGGGAACATCTCCATAAGTACTGGAAGATTACTAGATGGTACTAAGTGTCCATTTACAGCCAGTCATGGAATGTAAGGCAATAGCAGTCATCGTCCATTGGAATGCTCTGTTCGTAGATTTCTGTAGGCAATCTCTCCACCCACTTCTCTCCATTCACATATTCACACGTGGGTACTACAAAGAAGAATACCTTTCCAATTGAGACGTGACATCTCTCAAATTCTGTGCTGTGTCATTATACTTCTCTTGTGCAATCAAGGTGGCTTGGGCGTGGGCGGCAGTACTTCTCTCCAGTTCAACTTCTTTTCTAAGAACAAGAAAATGTTACTAATGACCAAAAACTGTGCTCCGTATGTCTCATATAATCCTGTGCAGTAAATGTTGTACAGCTTTAAAACAGACATGTATCACCTCATCTCCTGCATGATGGTTTACTAACTTATTTACTTGCTTCAACTGTATTTTCGCCTGTATTTCTTTTCATGACTCCTAAATTATATAGGTAATAGAGAGGAAAGAACAATCAAAACCTTTACAGCAACCTGTAAAGCCAATCTTATAGAACAGTCAGGTCTAAAGACTGAATGCAATGCTAACTAAAAGCACTGTGACTTAATAAACTTTCTTTATACTGAGACAGGGGATACTACACATAGTTAAAGACGAATCACATTAAACACTCTTTTGAAAGGTAGTTATGATACTATGTGCAATGATGTTATTATCCAATTTTCTTTTTTGCTATTTAGCCCAAGCTGGCCTTGAACTCAGGATTCTCCTAACTCAGCCTACAAGTAAAAGGATCCCAGATGCCCAACCTTATTGAAATTTCAGCAGTTTTGTATAGTAACAAATAGGTTTTAACTCATTTTTCTAGATGCATACAACAAATCTCAAATATTTTTTCAAATATTATATATTAAAACTCTATAACATGTTTGGAAAGAAATATGAGCTTATGAAGGATCTCTGAAAGAATTGGTGAATTGAAAATAAACACTGCACAATTCTAAGTGAACACTCAAGACAAAAGTAGGTCAAAGTCATTGCACAATGAGGAAGACAGAGCAAAAACAATCAGCTGCATCTTTCAGTTCTCATCGTTTAATTTGAGCCAGTGTAGGTAGGACTTGAAAAAGCATCTCACATCACACCCAAGGAAGTAGGATGTGAAGGCAGCCAGACCATTTCTCTGGGAATCACACAGTTAACTAGTTAAGCCACCAAATAAAGACCTTCTGTAAAAGATCTTAGTGTAGTTAGAACTCTTTAAGCCAGAGTCAATGACTCCTAACACCCCTTTAGGATATGCGTTGTCTACTCAACTTATTAGGGTCCTTCTCCCCCAAATCAGTTACAGTTAAGAACAATTTCCATAATAACACCTTTGTACTGCTCCCTAAAGTCAAGGAATACAAAGACCTGAGGTGCCTTTTTGTCAGGAATCACAAAAACAAGCAAGCAAGCAAACAAACAAACAAACGAAAAACTAAACCAGAAGAGATTTAGAAAAGTACTTAACAGGGCAGGCATGAGATACAATAACAGGTTCAAATCTCATCCACAGTAGATTGCTTCCTCAATGGAATCTCAAGAACTTAGATGACAAACTTACTTGTAGTTTAAATTCAATAATCAAATTGGCAGGGCCAGATAAAAGAATTTGCTCTGTAGCCTGACTACCTCTATGTCTGACCACTGAAACCATGGTAGAGAGGAATGATATCTCAACTTTGTCCTCTGATTTCTACCCACACCTGTACTCACACATACCACATATACCCACCCAACAACAATAAGCTGATATATGTATTAGTTTTGTTTTTTCAAGTTAGAGTTCTGTGAAATCCTAGCTTTGTAGGTCTTGAACTCAGACATGTGCCTGACTCTGCCTCCCAAGTGCTAGAATTAAAAGTGTGTACCACCATGCTTGGCTAAAATATATTTTCAAAGTAAATAATAAAAATTAAAGATAAAAGAATAAATTATCAATTTTAATTTGAATGTATATGCTAGAGAGGAAAGGGTTTGGGTTTGGCTTAGGTTTTCCTTTTTCTTTCTTTCTTTCTTTTTTTTTTTTTTTCTGAGACAGGGTTTCTCTGTCTAACAGCCCTGGCTTTCCTGGAACTCACTCTGTAGAGCAGGTTGGCCTTGAATTCAGATCTGCCTGCCTCTACCTCCTAGGTGCTGGGACTAAAGGAGTGTGCCACCACACCTGGCAAGAAGAAAGTTTTACCAGGTAGTAAGTTCTTTACTTTTAATAAGAATGTTGTTTTTTAATGTTTATCAACTAGTTCTGATTGTTTTATTTCTGCATTTATTTTTCTTTGACATAGCATTCCATTCTACAACACAGCCTGGCCTCAAGCTCACTGCACTCTTCTTGCCTCAGCCTCTGAAGTGATGGGACTACATGTCTGAGCCACTATAACCTGCTTTCTGATTGTTACTCCTAAAGCAAGACTGGCTAAAGGAATTAAGGTGCTTGTTAACCTTGGTGACCCCACACAGTGGGAAGAGAAGCAACTTCTGAAAGCCATCCTGACTTCCACAATCATGCTGTGATTTGTGTGCTTCTGCATGTGTATGGGTACACACACACACAAATTAACCAGTGTTTGCACTCTCTCAAGAAAGCTATTTAAAACATTAAAGGGTCTAGATGTTTTCAAATATAAAATAAATTGTCTTAACACTGATGTCTAATGACTTTTAGAAAATGGAATAGTAAAGAATCACATAAATATGATTTTATCTTTAGGAAAAAGGCTTTTTTTTATTTTATGGAGCCAAAGTCTCACTATTATAGCCTAGGATGCCTCAAACTCAATGTGTAATCCAGACTAACTCCTGGGTCCTGGGATTAGAAATGTACCAAGCCGGTTTTTACTTTGACTGCCATACTTGCCTACATATATGAGTGTATACGTGTGTGAATGTATACATATTCTTAACGTGTTTTTCTCTTTCTTACTTTGTAAGATAATTCCAACCTCCATGCATGTACTTGGGTGACATGAGAATTCTAAGAAGACAAACTAGAAAATAGTTTATATCTCCAGTCCTGCATGCACAAGATCCCAATAATACATACTCTCTCAGCAGGTTGTGTAGCCGCTTCAGTTGTTCTGCAGTTGACTTCGTTTCCTCTTCCAGCTGTTTAACCAGCCTTTCACTCTGCTCCTCCTTCTGCTGGACTGCATCCAACTCATCCAGGGCCAGCTTTAACTCTTCCTTAAAGACATTCTTCTCGGAGGTCATTTCCTCTTGAAAAGAGCAGAGCTGCTGCTGAAGACGAGCAGACAATTCCTGCATTCAGACAGGTTACCACAAAATAATTAGACATGGCATGAGGGCCTTTCATGGAGACAAGAAGGAAGTACAGATAATGAAGTATGGAAAATAATTAGGAAGTTTAAAGAAAGCACAGAAAGTACAAATACCATATTCATTTTTCCTATAATATATATTATAATTCAACACTATGGAAAATGTAATTAGCCGGGTGGTGGTGGCACACGCCTTTAATACCAGCACTTGGGAGGCAGAGGCAGGCGGATTTCTGAGATCGAGGCCAGCCTGGTCTACAGAGTGAGTTCCAGGACAGCCAGGGATACACAGAGAAACCCTGTCTCGAAAAACCAAAAAAAGAAAAAAAAAAAAAAAGAAAAAGAAAAAGAAAGAAAAAAAAAAGAAAAATGTAATTTCTAGCTTTTTTTTAGTGCCCTTTTTATATCTGCTTTACAGTTGGCCTTTATATGTATTTCAATATTCTATTTTCATATGTACTTCAATATACTCTACTCAGATATGATAATATATTATGATCTCAACGTTACATAAAATGTATAAGATACACACATTTCAAAGCTTTTAACTTTAATCATCGAGAAAAAATATTAAATTTCAGATTTTAAAAGCATATTAGTTTTCACTAGTCCCTATCCCAATCTTAGTTTTCCTTTCCAGAAGTAAACTTTTGGTTTAGAAGACATATTGCCCATATATTTCCATACATGCATACACTTTTTCAGGGGCTATGCTAAATATTCTCTGTGCATAAAAATTTTGTAAAATCATAAAAAAAGTTGACACCTGAAGGTCAATGTATATTAACCTATTGAACTCCTTTCATTGCCTCAAAATATATCACATGAGTGCATGTCCATTCTTATTGATCCTGCCTTCACCAAAGCATCACAGAGAAATGGTTTAGTTTCTACACATCTTTTTAACGAATATCTTTATTCTATTAATTACTATGGGGGGATCATTTCATGTTTACAAGTTACCTGAATGTCATGTTAGAACTGCCTGTTTCTATTCCATGCCCATGTTTCTTGTCTGTTTGTATTTATCTATTGGGCTTTTTTCCCCTCACCTATATATAAGACATTCTTTATATAAGCTGCATTTTCAAATTGTTGGGCTTTTTCCTATTATTATATATTCTTTTTCTGTTTCTTTTTTGAAACAGGGTTTCTTTGTGTACCCCTGGCTGTCCTGGAATTCACTCTGTACACCAGGTTGTCCTTGAACTTGCAAAGATTCACCTGCCTCTGTGTCCTGAGTACTGAGATTAATGATGTGTGCCACCATGTTCAGCCTAGACATTCTTTTTAAGATAATTACAAATATGTAGCTCATTTACTTAATATAAGTACATACCGATATCTGTGGCTAAACATTCAAAAGATATACTCCATGGTTTTCTGACATAAACAGTTATGACACAAATAAGTAGTTGTTTTAAAAAACAAAACAAATGTAGTTAACTACCTTCTCTTGCTGCAGAAGTGACTGGCTTTGCAATTCTTTTTGCTGCAGATTTTCATATTCTTGCCTTTCCAGAACCAGCTTCTCTCTTAGAATCTGTATCTCAGCACTGAGACTTTCAATCCTTTCTCCATCCTTGCTGACAAGGTCATCTGTAAAAGAAAAGCAGGAAACATTTATCACTAACTACTGTTAAGGGACTCAGTTCCTGTAACATTTCATCTCTTTGGTACACTATACAGATAAAGTGTTTCCAAAGAGGGAGGATGATTATAGTCATTAGCTTATTACATTCCACATTCCCCACACAGATATTTAGTTATGAGTTTGCACCAATTACAAATGTCATCCAGAGCATAAGTCATCAACTAATACAATTCTTTATTTTCAATTAAAGAATACAATATGTTGAAATAAATAGGAAACACCATACTGTTATAAAACTTCTTAAATATAGCACATAAACCTTTTGTTACTTAATAATTATAAAAATGTTGTTTTCATACATCTGTGCATTTTTTATAGACAGTATCTAAGCCTTCACAGAACAAAGCAATAGAAACAGCACGGTACCTCTTTCCATTTCAAGTAGCTGACATTTAACAGTCAGATCTTCTATTTGCTTAGAAAATGTAACGTTTTCCTCAAGAGATTGCTTAAGACTTAAAATCTCACGATCCTTCTCTTTCAAATCTTCTTCTAAATGGGCAATATCTAGTTTGTATTTTTCCACTTGATCAGATGCACAGCTATATTAAAAGATATTTTGAAGAGAAATTCTCTTAAGGTACTGGAAAAACATGTTCAACAAAATAAGGTGCTTTTGTTTTCTATGTGCAAAAAAACTGATACTGATTCCAGGGCTTCCCAAATGCCAGGCAAGTGCTCTATCAACATTATATCCCAAACCAGTAAAGTTCACTTTATTTATTAATTTCATTTTATTTATTTATTATTTATTTATTAATTTTTCACTTCAATTATTTATTTATTCAATGTGTATGAGTGTTTGCCTATATATATGTTTGTGTACTACATGTATGCAGTGCCTACAGAGGCAAGAAGAAGGCATCGGATAGATTCCCTTGGGAACTAGAGTTACAGATGGTTATAAGCCACCATGTAGGTGCTAGGAAATGAAATGGATCTTCTGGAAGAGGAGCCAGTGCTCTTAACTGCTGAGCCATCTTTCCAGCCTAGAAGTTAATTTTAAAGCTACTATTTTTTATATTACCTAATTTCTTCTATGTATTCTAGGAGTTTTTCTGTTTCAGATTTTTCATCGATCTTTTCTTTCTCTATTGAAACACTGAAAGAAAGATAAAAGAAAAAAGTAAATACATATTATTCACTTATTTAAGGCATAGTACTTAATAGATATTAAATATTACATCAGGCAAGATAACTCTAGAGGTCAAATTCTTATAATTTCATTAGAGTTTTTTCAAATTAACAACTCATATCGACACAGAAGATTAGATTTTATTTACATGAATAAGCTTTCCAAACATGGTATGTTCAAAGAGCTACAACAAGAACCATTTTATTAATAAGAAATGATCTTATTTTCCAACTTTCCTTCCCAATCCAAAGCACATTTTATGTGCCAAGAGGCTTTTGTTCCAGGCTGTATGGTATTCAATTACCTATGTGGTTAAGGCTCTTCAAGATGATCTAGTGTGAGGAATGAATAATCTTTAAATAGACATTTCATAATAGAGGATATGTAAGCACTCAACATTAACAAGAAATTAAAGTAATAAGTTATTGCCAGGTTGTATGGTTCAGGTCTATAAATCCTAGCAACATGGGAGGTTGAAGCACGAGGATCTATACCATGAAGACTTTCTGGGCTACTTGAGACCCAGGACCTGGTTTCAAACAGGAAGAACAAAGAAAAATTAGCATGTCGCACCATTAGAAAGGGGAAATAGACCAGCAATATCAAACACTATGAATACAGAACAACTCTAAAGACTATACTTTGCTATAGAGTTATAAAGTAGCACAGCTCTGTGTGTATGTGCCATGAATATGCTCTATGTCTTTGTGAATATGCTCTGTGTGTAGCTGTCTTATTCAGTAGTAAAAAAGACCAAAAACGGCTCAAATAATGTTCAAGAACTGAGAAATAGTCAGTCATATAATGAATTTAAGCTAAGCAATGAAAATGAAAAAAATTATACCACACATGATAGTATATATATGAATTATGATCAACAAATCTTGTACTCTGAATAGTGATAACCTTTCCCTAAATGCAAATTTAAGATGGAAAACTGTGAGGATGGGGAACCTTACAAGGTTACAGAGGCAGCATTCCCAGGGCTGGAAATGTTTTCAGTTTGTTTAATGTTATATATATGGCTATGATCTCATCGAAGTACAAACATATGATCACTACATTGTATTATGTTATATGGAACCTATAGTTCAGTATTTTTTTTTACAAAGTAATAATTGAATATTAATTCTATCTTTCAATACCAGAGTTTCAGTTTGAGGCAGTTTTAGACAACTATCTCAATATAATGATGCTAGAATAAAGATTTTAAGATCTTCCCTGTTCTTAGCTGCAGATGCAGGAAAGTAGTGAAAGGTAACACAATTCATATTTGAGAATGATTAGGATTTAACTGGCACTTAAGGGGTTACGGTGAAGAAATGAACAAAGTATGGAGGAAAGTCTTAGTAAAGCTAGCTTTCAGAGAAAGGCAAACACAAAAGGGTTAACAACTTGCTGCAGTCTTAAATTAATAAAAGGAAATATAAAAGTCAGAGCAAAATGAACAAAACGGAGACTAAACAAAGCTTACTTGGTAGCCAGAATTCACTTTGACCTCCTGATGCTCCTGCCTCCACTCCAGAAATGCTGCAGCATTATATCTGGCTCTTTTCATTGATCCCTTGAAATTTTTTGTTTTGTTTTAAAGTTTCCAAGCATCATCCTCACAGGCCTACTTCCTCTGGCTCTGCCCCACAACCGCCTCAAGGTTCCACAGTCTCCCAACATGACCAACTAGGAACAGATTCAAAACAGGAGCCTGTATGGGGCATGTGCCATTGAAAACCACAAGTGATCTTTTTTCTGCAATAAAAATTATAGTGTTGCAGGATATTTGATCACACTGTGAACCCTGAGATTGTCTTGTTTAATGGAAAAACCTGTTTCTTCTAGTTGTGGCATGGGTCAGCCCTAGCATACACCTTTAATCCAAGAGCTTTCTGCTTACTGTAAATAGGATTAAATAAAGTCAACCATAGATTAAGAGCAAGCAACCAGTTGACAGGGAGCAAATTCAGGAAAAAAACATAGTAAGAGGAAGTCAGGAGGATGGATAGAGACATACAGGAAATAGAAAGGAGAGACATTCTGTTTGAAGGGTTTTTTGCAAAGAAGGAGAATTTCCTTTTTGAGGCAAGGAGAAGGAGAATTTCCTTTTGGGGACATCAGCTGAGGAAGAAGATCAGCTGGGTGATGGGTGCTTTCTCTGTCTCTCTGAGTTAGCAAGCTTTCAACTCAGCACCTGGCTCCCGAGTCTTTATTAGTAAAATCAAATGATTGAGATTTTGTTAAAAAACATGAATAAAATATTAATATACAAATTTTAAGAGGATATAAGTAATTCTTCATATTTATAGATGGAAAAAAATCAATACTGTTATCAAAGTAGCCTATAAATTCAATTCAACCTCAGCTAGACATCAAGGACATTCTTCCCATAGCAAGAAATCAACAATTTGTATGAAAATATGAAACAATGAAAAACCACAAAACCAAAAGACATCTTGAGCAAAACAGGCAATGCAAGAGTGACTCCACTACATGATTTAATATACTACAAAGCTACTGAAGTGAAAGCACTGTGGTAGAGTGAAAAAACGCCAATTGGATATATTAACAGCATAGAGCCAAGAAAGCACCAAACACACCCATAGCACAAGCACTGGTAACAGGAGAATCCTCATAAATCATGAGAGTAGGTACCTTTCACCCATCAGCTTCCGAAGTCAACTAAAATGAACTATGTACTTAGCACTTAATTATACTACTAGCACACACTCAGGGGTAATGCTTCAGGACACTGGAACTAGTGTGTTTGTGTGAATCCTCAAAGCAGAAAAAGCAAAAACAGATGAATGTAACTGTATCAACATTCTAGAGAGCAAAGAAAGTAACTGAATGATGAGACCACTTACAGAATTGGAGAGAATATTTACTCTCTAGTCTATCTCTAATAAAGTTTTGATACTGTGGTGGTTTAAATAGTAACAGCCCCCAAAGACTTGTGTGTTTGAATACTTGACCCACAAGGAGTGTCACTATTAGGTGTGGTCCTGTTGGAAGAAGTGTCACTGTGGAGGTGGGATTTGAGGCTTATAAACTCAAGTTAGGCCTAGTGTGGCACACAGTCTCCTGCTGCTGCCTGTGGATCAAGATGTAGAACTTTTAGCTCTTTCTCTAGTACCATGTCTGTCTGCATGCTGCCATGCTTCCTGCTATGATGATAATGGACTAAACCTCTGACACTGTAAGCTAGTCACAATGAAATGTTTTCCTTTATAAGAGGTGGACATGGTATCCCTTTGCATCAAGGGAAACGCTAATTAAGACAAATACTTAGCTTATATAAAGAATTTTCAAAATTTAATAGTAAAAAAACCCTCAAGTTAAAAAATGGGGCAATAGATATAAATGGACTTTTTTTTCAAAAATTCACAACCTTAATATCATTAATAACCAGAAAAATGCAAATAAAAAAGTATTAATTAAAAAAAAAAGAAGTATTAATTCACCAAAGAATAGTCATTAAATAACAAAAACCAGAATCAATGCCTACAAACTTATATTTGTGTTTGAGTGTGTTTGTGCACACATGCTCTCTCTCTCTCTCTCTCTCTCTCTCTCTCTCTTTCTCTCTCAAACACACATACACACACACACACACAGGATGTACATGTGTAACACTAACAATAAAAGAAAGAAACTATCAACTTCAAAGAGGGGGTCCATAGGAAGGGTTAGAAGGAGGGTACCTGGGAGATGCTGAAGAGAAAATAATTTCAATTAAAAATATACTTTAAAAAAAAAGACTGATCATTATATAAAGGACTGGGGTTGTAGAGGTAGATCAGTGGTTAAGAGCATATATATGCTGCTCTTCCTGATGACCCAGGTTCAGTTCCTAGTAGCACATGATGGTTAATAACAGCTATAGTTTCAGTCATAGAAAATTTCTTTTTAGATCCTGTGGAAACTGTCTACAAATGGTGCACAGATACACTTGCAGGCAAAACCTCTTCCCATCACTGCACCAAAAAAGGTGTTTGTGTGTGTGAAGATTGATTTTGGAGTCTGGAGAGATTGCTTAGCAGCTAAGAGTTCTCATTGCTCTTACAGAGGACCTCAATTCCCAGCATTCACATGGGGATCACAACTATCTATTGCTACAGTTCCAGGGTATCCAATGTTCTCTTCTGAGCCCTATGGGCACCAAGCATGCATATGGTACAGATACATACATACAGAGAAAATACTCACACACATGAAGACAAATACAAGGACTGAAGTTAACGAGTGCTGGTAAGCATGTGGAAGAAAAAGAACCTTTGTATACTGGTGATAGGAAAGTCACTTGGCATAGTTATGGAAAACAGAACACAGATTTCTTTTATTAAAAAAAAAATTAAAAATAAACTACCATAAGATCAACAATTCCACTAGTGGGTATACAGGCAAAGAAAACAAAATCACTATATAGAAGTATTGGTTACAGTCTCATGTTGACCTCAGCACTATATACAAGAGCCATGTAATAGAAGCCATGGACAACTATTCAAGAGATGAATGGATAAGAAAACTGTATCAATGATACAGAATGGAATAGTATTTAAGCATATATAAAATGAGTGCAATTTGTGATATCATGGATGGAACTAGAGTTCATTATGTCAAAAGAAATAAGGGAGACACAGAAAGACAAATACCATATGATTGCACAAAATTGTGAAATTAAAAACTTGATTATCCTAGACCACTGGCTACTGAAGCTGGGGAAGCAGAGGAAGGCCAGCATGGGAATGGTTGGTCATGGGCACGTTTGGTCCATGAGTTCTAACACAGACAGGAGCAGGAAGTTGGTGTGCTACAGTAAGGAGAGGACAGACTGAGTAACACAAAAAGCTAGACTGCTTTCACTACAAAGAAATGAAGAGATTCAGATGTTTAATTTGTTTTCCTCATTAAAAAAATATGCATGTACACCGAAACGTTAGAAAGAACCCTATTAGCCAGGCGGTGGTGGTGCACGCCTTTACTCCCAGCACTTGGGAGGCAGAGGCAGGCGGATTTCTGAGTTCGAGGCCAGCCTGGTCTACCAAGTGAGTTCCAGGACAGCCAGGGCTACACAGAGAAACCCTGTCTCAAAAAAACCCAAAAAAACAAACAAACAAAACAAAACAAAACAAAAACAAAAAACAAGAAAGAACCCTAATAATCTGTACAGTTTTGAGAGAACGGTTAAACGCAGGAAAAAGGTTAAGCCATTGTCACAGTCAACAATCTTTTTCTTTGTACCACTTACAGTTTTCCCTCCAGCTGGACTATTTTTCCCTTAGACTCAGCGAGGTCCTTCTGAGTGGCTTGCAGCTTCAGCTCCATGCCTTCCTGTTTAGCCATCATACTCTGCACAACAGAGATGACTATTTTAGGAAATGAGACATTCTTAGGTCCCTGGAGTCAACAGACAGGTCACACACCAAAGGAAGCACTCACCCTCATCTTTGTCTCTCTCTTATTTCTGAGTTTCATCAACTCCAGGCTTAGAGTTCTTAAGTTCTTTTGATGACTATCTTCAGAAAACTACAATAAACATATAAGAACTCAGATATCTATTCTGTCACATCACATATATAATTATTTAAGGCTCAGTGTGGTAACAGATGTCTGTCATCTCAGTACTTGAGAGATAGAGGCAAGGATGAACAAGGAGCTCAAGATCAGCTTGGACTTCATAAGACTTGTCTCAAAAAAACAAAACAAAAGAACCAAAAATCAACAGCACTTGGGAGCCAGAGGCAGGTGGATTTCTGAGTTCAAGGCCAGCCTGGTCTACAGAGTGAGTTCCAGGACAGCAGGGCTACACAGAGAGACCCTGTCTCAGGGAGAGAAAAAAAAAAAAAAAAAAAAGGACCAAAAATCAAAAACAAAAAAAACAAAACACCAAGAAAAAGAATTACTTAAATCCTGACTAAGGGAGCTGGGCCGTGTTTTGCAAACAACTGCATCCAGCTCTCAGGACACAGAGTCAGATGGATCTCTCAGTTTGAGGCTCATTTGGCCTACAGAGTGAGTTCCATAACAGTCAGAGCTACAGAGAAACCCTGTCTCAAACAAACAAACAAGCAAACAAATGACTACTTCACCTGTCACTGGAGCTATTAATTGTGTGGCAGAGAGAAGAGCTCAGCACTGTCTTCTCTTTTCTTCTTTGCTTTTCTAGTTTATTTTTGAAACAGTCTAAGTGGTCATTTCTAAGCCAAACCTCCTCAGAAAGACTTGTAGAACTAAGTTTGCTAGACTAGTCTCAGCTACCTGGGACAGCTGAAGTATGCAAGATGTGGTGCCTACTCAGGCTTTCTACATAGAATGTCCCTTGGGCTCTAATAGACATTTTACTATCTATATAATGAGCATGTACATCCTACATGAAAGCCTATCACAGGCCTGAATAAATAATGAATTCAACTCAACTGTGACTTGTCTCTTCCCTCTATTTCTTCCATTGGCCAACAGAAGCATATTATATTTAGGATCTATTAGGACATCACTTACTTATAAACACAATTTACATGTTGAGCACACTCACTCCATTAATTATTTCTGACTGCATTCTCTGAAAACCCTTAGAAGAGTTTTGTTTTGTTAAGACACGTTGCCATGTAGTGTAGGCATGCCTCAAACCCTTCTGCCTCAGCTTCTGAGTGCAGTATTACTCCTATGTGATACTACATCTTTTCTTTCTTTCTTTTTTTGGTTTTTCGAGACAGGGTTTCTCTGTACAGTCCTGGCTGTCCTGGAACTCACTCGGTAGACCAGGCTGGCCTCGAACTCAGAAATCCGCCTGCCTCTGCCTCCCAAGTGCTGGTATTAAAGGCGTGCGCCACCACCGCCCAGTGCTACATCTTTTTCATGGGAAGATTTTTTAAAAAGAGACTTCAAAATGTAGATTCTCTAATACTCTTTGATGGTCATTTGCACTGGAGAGTATCAGGAGTGAGAAAATATCAGACGTCAAAACAAAAAGCTGCATTTTGTTTTACCCACGCCAAATTTCCTTTAATTAAAAAAAGAAGGTAAGACTCTCTTACAGAAGTAGGTTAACATTTAAGTAGTTAATTTAACAGTCAGAGCCAGACTAATGGTTTGGCATTATCCACTCCATTCTTTTCAGAACCATTCCAGCCTCCTTGAAAGAGACCAGCATTCAGCATTGTAGACTGTCTCTCTGGTTTGTGTGATCAGGACTGGTGAAAGCAAGAACTTTACTTACAGTGTAAGTGAATAAACAGCCTCATCTACACTTGCAAGCTTCAAAGCTTAACCTGCCAACCATGAAGGTGCTTATCACCCATTCAGTTTTGATGTTATCATGGAGTTCAAGTACCTTAGACTTTAGTAGCTCGTTGGCTCTGGTTAGTTCAGTGAGCCGTTTTTCCAGTGAAGCATTACTTGCAGACAGAGATGTTTTTTCTCTGACTGCTGCATTTAGTTTTGCTTCTGTCTTTTCCAACTCAGATTCCATGTCCTGGATCCGTTTGTCCTGGGTCCCTCGCTCTTGCAAAAGAACACGAATCTGGAAGAAAATGAGAAGATAAACACTTCTCTGTGGTACCACTTCTAGTGGTACCAGAAGCCTGAAAACTAGCAAACTTACATTTTGATATGGTGTTCAGATATTCTTACTTGTTACTGGATTTACTTGCTACTGGAATAATCATATTTCCCTTATGACACATCTTCAAGCTATATGTTATAAATGCAGGATTAGCACTTGAGAGGTAGAAGTAGGCGGATGTCTGTGATTTTTCAGGCCAGGCTGATCTAGCAGGCCATTTAGAGATACGGACTGAGAACGTGTCTCAAACATACACAGACACAGTCACATTCACATACAAACACCACCAACAAATACAATGACTTTTAATTGCCATAAACTTACAAGTGTAAGATAGCTCTATTTAGCCACTTAAAACTTACAACAATCTTGTTTTCACCAGTCCTAATTATACAAACTATAGCTTGAAGTGCTAAATATTTTGAGAAAGCAGTGTCCTCAGTAGAATTTAATAGGCATCCATGGGTCATCAGTTTCGTTGTTCCTACTAGTTAAACAAACAGCAGAAAAACAAAGAAGCTAACATTTGTCAATAGTTAGCAAGGGCTCGCTGCTGAAACCTGAGGATGGGAGTTTAAAGCTCCAGGATCGTGTAAATGCCACTAAGGTGTTGTGGCCCACTTCTAATCCCAGTGCTTTGGCTAGAAACAGATCTCTGGAGCAAGCTAGCTGGACAGATGAGCTGAAATGACGAGCTCAGCTTCTGAAAAACTCTGCCTCAATATTTGAAGGTGGAGAGCAATCTATGAAGACACTGGCTTCCACATCCACACACATGTGAACACACATATGTACAAGTATGTATACTACACGCTCATGAAAAGTAAAGTCTGGATAAAAGATTGTCAACCTGGGCTGGAGAGATGCCTCAGTAGTTAAGAGCACTCACTGAATGCTCTTCCAGAGGACCTGAGTTCAATTCCCAGCAACCACATGGTAGCTCATAACCATCGGTAATGGAATCCAACGCCCTCTTCTGGTGTGTCTGAACACAGCAACGCTGTACATATATATATGTATAATAAATCTTAAAAAACAAAAAACAAACAAACAAAAACCAACAAAACACCTTGCCAACCTAAAATCTGATCCAAATAGAAGGTCTCAATCTTGGCAGTGTCACTCACCCACAAATAACGAGCCAATCACTGCATGCATAAGCATCAAACACAAGAGCCTCATTGCCATGGAGCCTCAATAAAGACCTTAGATATGAGAGACCAGTGCCTAAGCCAAGGAACCATTTCCTAAAGGCTCTGATATGAAATTGCTAGAATCTTAGCTTGAAAGTCTATATAATTTTCTTTCTGTTATATAGCATTTATTTTTCTGTAAGTTGAAAGTATGGCTTACCTCTTTTTCTAATCTCTTCACATCTTTATCATTCTTCTGAGACTCCTTCTGTTTAAAAGTCAAAGAACAATTATGAATTTACATGCCACAAACATCACAGCCCAATCTGATAATTATTTAGTTTTGGCCCTCTTCCAAATTAAAAAAGAATTCCCATTTGGTGTGTTTTGCTTGCTTATATGACTGTGGAGCATGTGTGTGCCTGGTGCCTGCAGCGGCCAGAAAGGGGCACTGAATCCTCTGAGCTGCACTTCTGTGGTGAACTGCCAAGTGAATGCTGGGAACTGAGCCTAGGTCCCCTGAAAGAGCAGCCACCGAGCTATTTCTCTAGCCCCTAATTTTTGGTCTTTTGAGACATCTCACTACGCAGTACTCAATGACCATGAAGTCACAATCTAATCTTCAAGGGCTGGGATTGAAACTGCACACTAACACACTCATCTTTGTGTCTATTTTAAGCACTGTAGAAGGTCGTGAAATATTTTGTAAACATTTTTTTATGAGACAGAAAATAGGATTTTGTTTTTTGTTTTCTTTGAGACAGGGTTTCTCTGTGTAGCCTTGGCTGACCTGGCACTCTGTAGACCAGGCTGACCTTGAATTCAGAGATCTGCCTCCCTCTGCCTCTCAAGTGCTGAAATCAAAGGTGAGTGTCATTACTTCCCAGCTAAAATGTTCTTAAAATTTCGAAATATTTTAGTTTTCAAAATTTCAGCCCATTAGAAAAATAGCCTTTTCTTTATATAATATATAGAGTTCTATGACTAAAACTTCAGTTTCCATTTTAACACTAGACAGCAGAATATTTTGAATAATTATGCTACCTAACAACAACAACAAAAAAAGCTTTTAAAGAAAAATCATTTTAAAGTTTATCAGCTCCCCAACCTGATTAGATTCAAAGAAGTTAAAAAAAAAATGTAATCCTATAACCTATGATTTTGATTGTTTTCATGGCATTTATTTATCTAAGACAATCTTTATATAATCTTGTGTATAAAAAGGTAGTCTATACAGTATTAAAAACAGGTTAGTTCTAGGTGTTTCTAAGTTGAGAGAAAGGTCCAATTTTATTCACTTCAAAATTGATGGCATTTTCTACTAAAAAAGGTCTATCATTTGGTAAATCTATGGATACCCAATTAATTAAAAAATTTTAACTTGTTTCACAAAAAATCCAAGTCATGTCATTCATATCCATTCCCACAAAAACACATGTCCACTATCCCATTTGTATCCCATTTATATGGGAATACAAATACAATGTAAGCCAAATATGTACTTCAATTTTTCTGATAATATTAGCATAAATTTATGAGAGTACAAAAATTCAATTGAGTTGTCTTATTTGTATTCATATTTCAGACCTATAACACATCAAATTAAATGCATTTTTGGGGAGGCTCTCAAGCCAGGGTTTCTCTCTATAGCCTTGGCTGTTTTAGAACTCATTCTGCAGACCAGGCTGGCTTTGAACTCAGATATCCGCCTGTCTGCCTCCTTAGGGCTGAGATTAAAGTTGTGTGCCATCACTGCCCAGTTTAAATCCAAAAATTCTGTCAGACATATTTATGTATATTTTATAAAAAATACAGTTACCGTTTTTCCTCAAAAATTAGAAAGTATCTAAATAGAGGATTGCGTTTAGTGGTGAATCAGTTGCCTACCATGTATAAGCTTTGGGCTTGATTCCCAAAACCACACACAGAACAGGTAGGAGAACTAAAAACTTAAAAGTTCCAGGACAGGAGAGATAGCTCAGTAGTTAAAAATACTTAGAGGTCTTCTAGCAGACCCCATTTTGGTTCTTAGCATCTATGCTGGGTGGCTCAGGACTATGGACTATCTGTTACTCCAGCTCCATAGTACTGGATACTGTCTTCTGGCCTTCATGGGCATTGCATGCACATATAGATGCTCACACACTACTTTACGGTTACTATTGCTATGAAGAAACACCATGACCAGAAGCAATTTGGGGGAAGAAAGGGTTTATTTTGCTTATTATCAGTCTATCCTTGAAGAAAATCAGGGTAGGTACTCAAGCAAGATAGGAAGCTGAAGGCAGGAGTTGATGAAGAGGCCCTGGCAGGGTGTTGCTTACTGGCTTGCTCCTCATGGCTTACTCAGCCTGCTTTCTTATAGTACCCACGCCCAGCAGCCCTGGGATGGCCCACAACGGACTAAGCCCCCTCATACAAATCACTAATTAAGGGAATGCCCTATTGCTTCCTAAAGGTCAATTTTATAGAGGTTGCCTCCTCTCAGATGACTCTAGATTTGTCAAGCCACATAGTAACAAGTTGGCACTAGCTGTATTTCAAGTACTCAGTAGTCATTCATGTTAGACGTGTCCACAATGGACTGCACAGCTCTATATCACAGAATAAGAGACCTTATTAACTGCTAAATACATCAACGGTATCCTTGTACAAGTTTGAGTTACAACCGTTTGGCCACTGGTATTTTAATCTCTCTCTTTTTTTTCACTCATACTTATTCTTCCCCACAACAAATATCAGACAAGCTAACAATAAACAAACAAACAAACGCACACAACTCTGATGGTGATAGCAAACCAAAGAATGACAGGTTTGCAAAGGCTTACAAAGTGACTATCAGATTCATCTCTATAAAGACATGGTTTTGTAATTATGAACCAGGAGCACATTCAAAGAGACTCCCTAATAACTTAGGCGGACTGGAAAACCTGCTTGCATTCTAATGATATTTATTCTATTAACTGATAGATATTTTTTAACTACAGCTCCAGGTCCTGGGATCTGAAGCGAGTTCTGAGGAGCAGTGACTGTTCCTATTGAGCTGTCTCTACCCCACCTTACTTATAAATTTAATTTACACACTTAGCCATTTTAATCAAACACATCTTGTAGGTATGTAGTCAGTGACAAAGAATATACCGATTGTCTTACAGATGTTTCTCACCTTTGACACCAAGGTCTTTGCTTTTTTAGCCGAAGCAAGCAAAGTTGTATCTTTGTCAATGTTAAGATTTTGTTGAGATTCTGAAAAAAAGAAAAGAAAAGAAAAAGAAAAAAACTCAACATGGCCACTATTGATGTTTACATGTTTTAACCAAATATAAAATTTCCAACCTTCTCACTGCAGACAGTAACTGATGGTATGGTACACTTTCCTTTGGATTGTTTAATTCAAATAATTATTTGCACAATTATTTGTTATAGACATAAGAGCTTCCCAATATTCTTTATTTTCAAGAGACAAATTATTTTTTAAAATAAATACACTTCTCTGTGTGTGTTGGGCGGGGGAGGGGATGTGTGTGTACTTGTGTGCTGGTAACCCAACTCAGGTCCTCTGAGGGAACAGTATGGGTTCTTAACTACTGAGCTAGTTCTCCAACCGCTTCTTGACAGTCCCAACATTCTGATAGAAAGGATAAGCAAATTATCATAAGGAAAACTACCTGCAAATATCTTGCTCAATTTCTCTCGTTACATACAGTCTAACTGAAAAAAAAAAAATTTGTACTCGGTTCTTCCATAAACATACCAAATAAGGATATTAAGATCTACTTCTGACCACGGAACTCTAGAAGTACAAAAGCATTTTAAAATTTCAACCATATCGCTTATGTCAGCTTATAACGCCTTTTAACCACCGTTTGTTTAAGGACCCATTACCTCTTTGGTTTTTAAACCTTTGTGATTTCTGAAAAGACACTGGTCCTTTTGCTGCTTCTGAAGTTTTAACATCGTAAGCACCTGGAGATGGAGCACAACCTATAGAAAGAACAAAATAGCAATGTTTCAGTTAATACTACTTATTTTATTACTACTATTAGTATAATTAGCAATACCTACAAGAATTCATAATCTTAAGTCAAACTAGTGGTTTTCAATCTTCCTGCTGCAAATCTTTAATATAGCTCCTCATATTGTAGCGATACCCAACCATAAATTATTTTCATTGCAACTTCATAATTGAATGTTGTTACCATCATGAATTGTAATATAAATATCTAAATAATAATGTGTGACCCCGTGAAAGGGTTCTTTGACCCCAAAGGGGTGGAGACTCACAGGTTGAGAACCACTGTGCTATACACATAGGAAGAGGACATCTAAGTTGAGGACTGCTCTCACCAGATGGACTGTGGGTAGTCCACTCCCGGGCAGGTGGGCCTGGGTTGTATAACAAGCAACTCAGTAAGCAGAACTCCATTCATGCTTCATTCAGTCCCTGCCTTGTTTTCCCTTGAGAAGAAACTGTATCTTACAAACCAAATAAAGCCTTCTACTCTGCCCCTCACTCTTGAGTTTCTTTTCAGTCACTGTTGATGATTCAATATAAATTGCTCCAGAAAACTTATATTATCCAAGATATATTGATACACTATGATGCTCTTATTTACTTAATATTCTTTCTTCTTTGGTCTTGATCTGCCTCTGCAGAAACCCACAATCTACTCATCCAGAACTCACTGTATGACCTAGGTGTGCCTCCACTCCATGGTCCCCTCCCTTCGGCTTCCAGGATGCTTAGCTCACATGTAGTATGATGCCCAGCTTCACTGCACTTTCCTTCACTGCACTTTGTCCCTTTGAAAGTATGGGCTGGATGATAAGTATAGGATGCTAGCATACAATGTGCTTCTAAAGTTTCCTTTTGTTCTTGGCTGCTTGCCAAATCAAAAGCAGTACGACTCAAGCTTTTCCACAGAAATTTCCCTTAGAATCAGAGAGCAAAGAATAACCCTGCTTTCTTCATTCAGAATGGAAAACAGTAGTATCCATAAGAAGCTGTCAGTGCAGTAAAAGCCAAGTTGTGTCAGAGACAAACAACTCTCTTCCATTTCACATAAGCTAAAAGGGAAGAAGCAGATGGGAGGAATACAGTTTTGGACCTCATATTTTGTTATATGTTTATAAAGCAAGTACAGGAAACTATGGGCCTTATATAAATAAAATTCATATGTATGTATGTATCTTTCTAGGCTTGAGCATTGAAAATCTGCCAAGTGACAACACAGCTGCAGCTAAGGACTGTAGACAACTGTGTTGGAAGGGACTTTTAAATATGTCCATTTAAGAAGCATTGGTGTCTTTGGTGTCTACATATGATAGTTTCATGTGTGTTTGAGTCTCTTAGACATAAACATTTTCTCATTCAAAACAATCAAATCAGCTAATTCAGTAATGGGCTACATCAAATAAAACCTTCAAACTTCCAGAGTTCTATATTTTCTAGCTAGCCATTTAGAATTTATAGTCTACTTTCAATCTTATTCTGCCAATTCTCATTTACCTTCCAGATCTCAATGTGAACATTACTTCTAGCTTTTGCAGAGTCCCCCCAAAAAATCATGCTATAAAATTCCTCAGAGCACCATCTATCATTCCTAACAATGACTTCTTATGCTTTCACAAGGATTTATTTACTCCATCTCTACATTAGACAAAACTTCTTGCAATTTGGGAGTAGCTGCTGCTGTTCTAGTATTTAGCTCATAGTTGTGTTGAGCAGTATAGAAAAAAATATCTTGTTTGGGATGTGAGAATGGACTAGGCTTTTGTAATTAGCCACATGAGGACTCAAAATCAGTTGTGTCTGACAAGCTACAGAAAATACTGTGCCAGACATTTTATAGACATATGGAGAACAATCCAATAATAATAATAATAATAATAATAACCCATTAGACTTCCTCCTTTTTCCCGGGATGCTTTAAGTTTCCTTCAGGGAGAAAAAGCAGCTGCCATAGATTCATGAATATTAACTATCTGACATATTATCTTTGATACTGTAAGCCTTAACTACTGCTCCTTCAAACCAAACAGCAGCTGGGCCATGTGTGTTGGGCAGTTCCCTTAAGTTCCAGTACTTGGAAGGTGGTAGCAGGAGTCCAGGGCTAGCCTGGGCTACATGCAACCTTGTCTCAAAACAAAAAAAAATCTACCCTGTTCTGCAGAACCTAAGTTGTTTGAATACCCTGGAAATGGTATGGCCACTGAGCTACATGAATTCGATCACTCACTCGACCTTGGGCATGGAGTATTGGTGACAGAAATCACAGATGTAGACTATTAACCAGTACATGCTACAGAGGGTATGAAATAGCCTTTCATGTTCGGCTCGATCACTTATTTGCTGGCTGTATTCATTACAGTCAGAAACTCCCTCAATGTTCTCAGTTGTAAAGAGTACAACTTTGGTACTTTTCTCGTCTGGCTGTTCAAAGAAATAACTTACAGACCTTACAACAATTGCACAGTTAGCATCTATCACCTCATACCCAAGGCTCTAGTTCCGTTCCATTCCTGCCAATTTAGTTTCATATCATTGAGCAGATTTCAGTCTCATTTTTCTTTTACTTACAGCTTGTTATTAATTTGTTGTAGGATGGGGTCAGTGACAGTCTTTCTATGTAGCCCAGGCCACTGGGTCGGGAAACATCCATTTCTTACAGGCGAAAACATTAAAAATTACTGTATCCTAACTTTTTAAACGCTACCACTGTCTACGCACCAAGTTCCAGTATTTGATCGTTAAAATGCTGAACATTACTTAAGAATTGTTTCATGAGTGGTAAACAATCCTTGGGCAGCTGTTATTATTGAACTGATTTCTCGGTCTTCATGCTTTTACATCTGAATGTAATGTCAATGTGGAAAATTCTAAAGACAGTAACTTCTTTTTAAAAAGTACAGTGCCAGCCAACTCCTACTCTCCTTCAACCAGCTGTAGCTTCTCCAAGGTGTTGATGGCTTATTTTAGAATTTCACGCTTGAAGGCTCGCTGTGTGCGGGGAGGATCCATTTCACTTAGAGCCGCATCTCTACCATCCTATACTGCGTTTGCCAAGTGTTTATTGCGTGAATTTGGAGAAAAACGAACACCGCCCCAGCCCTAATCTGGTTTCCGGATGACTGGGGAACGAGGGCGCATCCCCTTCCCACCCTGCTCCCACACCCGTACGCACCCGAAGGGTCATTGAATCGTTTCAGGGGCGCCTTAGGAAAGGACATTCTCACGCCTGGGTCCAGATGCAACAGCAACCAAACGCCCCACCAAACTGTCAGCCCGTCCGAATTCAAATTTACCCCAACTTCTTTCCGTCAGCCAATCAGAAAACCTAAACCTATCTGGCCAATCCTGCATGGGCCAACGAGCATGCGCACTAGAGTTCTACCGCCACCCAATAGGGAAGTTTGTAAGTTTAAGCTGGTAGCCAATAAGAGACTGTTCTTGTTCGCTGCTGCAAACAACTCCATCCAATCACATCTGGTTTTACTCAATTTTAATGGCTAGCACAGTTCGCGCAAGCGCACTTCACAGGCCCGTGGAAGCCTCGGAATTTTGGCGTCACACAGGTTAAAAGATCGCAGGCACTTTTCCTCCTTTGTTCTAGCGTCAGTGTTCTTTGGACGTCAACATCTCTAGGCTTCGGTCTTTTTCACCGGTCTCGCGAGTGTCTTAAATGGGCTCTGAAAGGGAAAAATTTGTACACTCGGACACGCCAGTTTGGACTCTTGCGCATGTGCAGTGACCCCAAGGCGCCGAGGGCAAACTGAGTCTAGTCCCGCCGCTGTAGTGCTCTCCCGGAGCGGTGTCCCTGCGTGGTCTTCAGAATGTCTGCCCCGTTTGAGGAGCGTAGCGGGGTGGTTCCTTGCGGGACTCCGTGGGGACAGTGGTACCAGACCCTGGAGGAGGTGTTCATTGAAGTCCACGTCCCCCCGGGCACTCGCGCGCAGGACATCCAGTGCGGCCTGCAGAGTCGGCACGTGGCTCTGGCCGTGGGTGGTCGCGAGATCCTCAAGGTAGCAAGCCAGGGCTTGTCCCGAATTCCTTCTTCTGGCCTCCCCGCACCCCGAGCCCTAAAATTCACGGTGTCAGAGGGATGACTGCTGGGTGTGGCAAGGTTAGTTCCTGGCTGGTAGAAAGAAAGCTTTAAATTGTTCTGGCGAGGGGGGTCTCTACGGAGCACCCCGCCCACAGAGCAGATATTGCGCGGGTAGAACTGCAACGATTTTGTTTTCCACTTTATTTCTAAAATAGATTCGGGGTGCTTTTAATAACCCTGAAGTTTCTGTTGACAGACGGCTAAATAGGTCAAAAGAACAAATGCCTCTTCTAGGCACTCATGTGAGTCCCAAAGACTAGACAAAAGGTTTCTGAATTCTATTCATGAGGTGTAGGCTAATACAGGGAGTTACAAGCAAGGATAGGTTAATGGGCTGACATTTCAAAGATGTCAGATTGGTTTTCTAAATAACAAGTTTCTTGCATGTTGATCTTCAAGATAATGAAAAGGTGTGTGTGAAGTTATTTGATTTCACCAAGTATTTAGTCTGGTCATACTTCCCTGTTTTTTGGTTAAGAATTTATTAAGACTCACATAACAATTAGACTATATTTTACACCTAGATTAGATGCCTAGCCTTTTGGATGTCTATGTAGTATAGTGGTGAGTGGAGACATGATACTGTGTTTTGTAACCTTGGGCAGGAGGAGAAAAAAAATTAGTCTCAGCTAATTTGACATCAATTCTTCAATATGTGATTAGATTCTTATTAAGAAATTGGCTTTTTTGAGTACCAGCTTCTGAAAAGAAGTTAAACTAGCTTTAATAACATTGACTTTAAAAGATAGCACTTTTAAGGCAGGTGTTATGGCACGTGCTTTTTAATCCTAGCATTTGGGAACCATAGGTGGATCTCTTCAAATTAGGCCAGCCAGCCAGATCTAAGCCAGTTCCATGACTACATAGGTAGAGTTCTCTACCTTTCTAATGCTGTGATCCTTTGATAACGTTCTTCATGTTGTGGTGACCCCCAACTATAAAATTAGCTTCCTTGGTATTTCATAACTGTTATTTTGCAGTTATGAATCTGTAGTTAAAAATATCTGGCATGCAGGATATCCGGTATGTGACAGTGATCCTACAAAAAATAGTCACTAGGTGATGGCTGTACACACCTTTAATCTCAGTACTCAGGAGACAGAGACAGGATTTCTGTGAGTTTGAGGAGAAATTTTGAGACTCATGGTCTACAGAGGAAGTTCCAGGGCAGCCAGGGATACACAGAGTTCGTCCCCCCCCCAAAAAAAAAAACAAACAAACAAAAGAAAGAGGGGAAAACAAAAGAACATTTTTTTCTAGTTTTAGTAGGAGTCCCTGTCATGTTCATATTAATTGGTACAGCATTTTGTATGTTAAGTTCACATTCTGTCGTAAGGAGTAGTATGTCTTCTCCTGTTTTGTGTAGTGGTCTCTGTGGTTTTGTCCCCCCACCCCCCCATGGTAAAGTTGTCAGATTTGTAAACTGGACTCCTTTTCGTTCATTAGGAGGGAGTTCAAGGTTGAGCCCCTACAAATAGGGAAAAGTGGCCTAAGATGTACCTTAGCTTGAAATGAGCCAAATCTTAATGATGAGAATTTGTAAAACTTAATGAAATACTGTAATTTTATTACCTTATACTTATTTTCCAGGGGAAATTGTTTGATTCTACAATTGCTGATGAAGGAACATGGACTTTGGGTAAGCGTAATCTGTTAATGATTCCTGTGCTTTTGAAAATTGGATCATGGTATCATTTCTCCTTTATATTAAGTCTTGTTTTTGTAGCTGTGAAAGATGGAGAAAAGTGTTGGGAACAGTTGTTTTATCAAAATTATCCACTAGCCTTTGGAAAATACAGTGTTTAATGATGAGCAGTAGTTTCTCTGTAACGTCTTTCTTCTTTTTCTCTTAGAGGATAGAAAAATGGTCCGCATTGTTCTGACGAAAACCAAGAGAGATGCCGCAAACTGTTGGACTTCTCTTCTAGAATCTGAATATGCAGCTGATCCCTGGGTGCAAGACCAAATGCAGAGAAAACTTACATTAGAGCGATTCCAGAAAGAGGTAAGTCAGATGCAGGAGTGAGTATGTACAGTTACACCATCCAAACGCACATGTATTCATAAGGTATACACAGTTGTAAAAAGCCTTTTGGGTGAATTTTAAAGTGAATGGCTAGAAAATTGCCTATTAAGTAGATTTTAAATTTCACACATGTATGCATTGCTGTAAGATCCTGATTGCTGAATCCACTTCAATAATTCATGAATAATAAACCTAAAGAACTGGACCACTGTAGGTATGCAGTGTAAAAAGGAGATGTCCCTTCATTTGATTCCCCACCTCTTGCCTCTACCTCATTCTCTTTGATCTCTTTTAGTGTGTAGTTTCCACTAGCATCATGCTTACTTCCAAGTATATGAGCTAGACTTCTCAGTTACTTGTTGCACATACTCATAGTTCTGTCTGTCAGGCATTACATGTCCAAGATGAGCAAACTAATTTCACTGCCACATTTATTCTACTTTTTATTTATTTAATGGAGACGAGTTGTTCATGATGAAGGGTTGGGAGGAGGGGGTCAGAGAAGGCCCAGAGGCTATGGCACGTGCCATGCAAGCATGAAGACCAGAGGCCTACTAAAGGATCCCCAGAAACCATGCAAAAGTTGGGCAGGTGTGGTGGCCTCCTTAGATCCCAGCACTCCCGAGGCAGAGAAAAGGCATCTCTGAGGCAAGCTGTCTGTCTGGACTACTTATTGGGTTTATTGAGAGACCCTCCCTCAATAAAACAAGCAGGGAGAGCAAATGAAGAAGATCCCTTAGTCCTACATGCCAGCCTGCACACCCTCCAGGGGACTCTTCGGAAATCTCATTAGCATTGTCTTCCACTCCCATTCACAATGTTACCACTTCACACTTCCCCATTTGTTAGCACTCTGGTCGGATTACTTGAATAAATTGCTAACTATCCTCTTGCACAGTCCTCAGACAGTAACAATTGAGGAAGTTTTGATAGGGCAAGTCATATCAATGCATTTTCCTTCTCAGCATTCTCCAAGTTCTTCCTTCTCTTAATGGGATCATTCTTTGCCCTACCCTTCCTTTGGTTTTTCTTTTTCTGAGACAGCGTCTCACTGCGTATGTAGCAGGCTGGCCCTCAATTTAGAGTTCTGCCTCCCAAGTACTCGGATTAAATGTATGAATCAGCATGCCTGGCTCTCCGCTGATTCTGACTGCAGTGTTCTGTAGCTTTCAGCTCATAGCTCAGTAAAACACATTTTTACTCTCCCATGAAGGCTATAATTTTCTCTCCTAGTTATTTCTCCTATACCCTTTTTATAGCACTTAGCTGCTTTAACACTAAGTCAGGTTGACAAAATGTGGCCTGGGGAAGTTCAGCCCACTGTATGTCTCTTTACTGAGGTACCTGTGTTTACTCATCAGGATGTTATCTTACACATAGCAGTTTCTTGTAGTTAAGTATGACAGAGGTCATGTAGTCTGCAGAGTCTAAAGTGATTACTACCTGAGTCTTGTACAAGTCAGACTTCCTAAGCTCTGTGCTCAATATTTATGGTTTCTTATTTGTGTTTCCCAGCTACAGTGTAAGCTCCTCTAGAACAATTTATTTGCTAATTTTTGAAATCCACATTTGTTTAAATGTTATTTTCTTAGTAGTTCAAAAGAGGCCCATTAAGCAAATGAAATTTCTCCTGAAAAGTCTAAAGCTTGAATGAATACTTGGTAATATATAATATGTATCAATATGCTAGTATAGATATCACTCTTAGAACTCTGCATAGCGTGTAGTAAGCTTCAAAACCTTGCTGACTGTTAGCTGAGCTTGAAGATACTGACTTTTAATTCCAGCCACTTGTGAGGGTGAGACAAGAGAACCTCAAGTTCGAGGCCAGCCTGAGTGACATAGCTACACCGTGTCTCAGAAGAATTAAAAATTAAATTTAAAACTAAAAAGCTTAGCATAGCATACTTGCTTAGTTTACAAGAGGACCTGTGTTCAATCCATAATATGCCATCCAGGGGAAAAGAGCTTATAAAATCTGTTTATTTGTATAAATCACAAACAGATTTGATTGTGAAGTGGAAAGTTATGTTTCATTATACAGTTACTACCATGGTCACACAGGTATACAGGTATCAGTCTTGTAAGTGTTTATAGATCTGAAAGTTGAAGGAACCTCTTAATTTTAATCACCTTAGGTG